TGCTAGCTATGCTAGATAAACTCTATGATGCACCCAATGCCAGCATAGTAATGCCAGTAGGAGGCATGAGGTTTTCAACATGACTGTGTAGCCTTTATACAAGTGAGTATAAGGCATATTTGGTAGTATAAATTAATGTATTCATCCAGAAAGGAGTGACTATCCCAAGAAAAGCAATTTTTGTTGATGCAATCTACATCTACTCAAAGCGAGGCACCAAGCTCACTTGCAGACTACACCAGCACGTCTGTGCCAGCCTGGTCTGAGAGCGAACAGCACAGCTAAGCAATGGAAGGTGCATTTAGCTCCGAAGGGTCATGTTTAAATCCACCAAAAAGCCTGACAGGAAAGGCTCACATGGTACAAGCTCCACAGCAACTCAGAGAACTCAAGACTCAAAAGCAATATATTCAACCCACAGAGCCTTGCAGCAGAATCTGAAGCTGCCAAACTCGGGTTATGACAGATGGCCAAGGGAGCAGGCTTAGAAAGCAAAGGCCTCCAAGGAAGACAGCAGTGGCTTTAAAACTGGCCAGTAATTGGCACGGCTGTCGGTGCTAGGGGGCTGTCTCTCCTGTGTTCAGGTGCACACACATGCACACACACGCGACTGTGCGTGTGCCTGGCACTCCGCTTCCCCGAAGGGAAATATTAACAGTCTCAGAGCAGCTCAGCACTACACAGCTCTGCCAACACAGCTACACTGGGCAGGAGCACTAAGGGCTGAGCTTCCTGAATTTCATAGCCAGCAGAAACCTCTTGTTTTGAAATAATTGTATCAGCAAACTCCATTTTCACTGGCTCTTTTTACTCCTTGGTGTATCTTATATACCCATGTAAAGTATATTTTAGCCATCACCTGTGCATCCAGCCTACAGGAAGATTGCTGACAAAGGAGATAGTGAATCCCTATGAGAAATGTTCTCCAGGTGTAAACACAGGAGACACAGGCATCCGCCACACTTCTCAAGAGGAAAACATAACTAGCACTTTCTAATAGGTATTTTATTATTATCTAGTATATAACTTCATGTTTGCTGACATTACAAAATCCTCAGGAAGGCAGAAAAAATCTCTGGATTTTTTTTTATTGTCAAGGCACATGGCAAATCTACTATATCAGGCAACTCTTTTTTTGGCAAATAAATTGAGTCCTGAATGGTTCTGGGCAAGCAATAATCTCACTGTACCACAACTGGCAAGCAATTAATGCTTATATAGTTTGTCCAGGTCACAGGACAAAATGATATGTATGCCATAATATGATACAAATGTATTTTTTTTAATCTATCAACACTTATTGACAAGGGGCTTGGTTTTGATTTTTAGCTGCAATAGAATTAAATAGAATCATAACTGCTACAAAACATATCTTTTGTGCCTAGGATATTTACTCTGTGCTATATTATGGAGAACCTTCAATGCCCATGACACAAAACCTGTTCTCTCCCTCACAATTCATTTTAGATTAAGCTATTAGATCTCTCAAAGTTGCAGTTTAATGTAGGGACTTTAGGTCATCTCTGAAGTTACCCTTTTCCAAGAACAGTTTTAATCTTGTATAGTACTTGAATATACTTCTTATAATTATGTTTCAAGTGTTACTGCAGCTATATTTCAAATTTTACGTATGTAAGAAAATGCTATATTATTTTAATACTGATGGTAGAATAAAAATCTATTCAAAATTCACCTTTCTGGAAGCACAATCAAATATCCAAGAACACTATTAGACTTGCTCAGCATAAAGTTTCAAACTGCTAATGGGTTTTAAATTGATGTCATAATGCTGCAATTTAAATACATGATGTGCATTAATTTTACCAGAAGTCTTTGTAGCAGGAGTAGGAGTGGTATGAAAGAGGGAGGAAGGTTATATTTTTTTAATATCTTTTTTTTTTCTTTTTTAATCTACTTGCCCATTTGTGATGCACAAGAAGAATCACTACATTAGTTTAAGGGTTGCAAAGTTTACTCAAAGAGCAATAGCTTTCAATTAGGCAATTGCTGTAGTATTATATCAAAGTAATGCTAACTATGAAAAAATAAAAGGAATAAGATAAAAACAGCTTCACAAAATATTGTGATATTTCTTGAAGATAGATTTTATGGAAACTATCACCAAAATCTAGAGATAAGAAGCAGAGGAAAATAATGTACAGAAAAGACTGTACAGTCTTCTTATCCATAAACCATGCACTTCCTTTCCACTGTAAGGTCAAAATTCATGTACTTGGGTGAGAGAACACCGCTGCAAAACAGGCAGCCACAATCTCTCTTGGATCTCAGGAAGTCCACTCAGATGTGGGTGTTGGAAGGGGAGAAGAGAGAGATCCCCTGTAGGTTCCCTACAAGGGAACGTCTTGGTTTGAAGGAAGAGGAGGAACTGAATGCAAATATTCTAGGCAAAGGATCATCAATTTAAGTAGTATCTTGCCAAAAAAATTAAAATGAGCCTAGACTTAACAGGCCAATATAGTATAGCACAACGGCTATTTAAACTTCAAATATAGTATGTTTACTGTACATAAACCCAGTTTTTCCAAAGCTGTTGCTATAGCTACAAATCAAGGAAACCATAGCAACAACACTGTATTATGCATAGCCTTAATTACAGATTGTTATGTCTCTCTTCACAGCTTATATTAAATACTCCCATATAATCTAGCTATAGCAACTTTAAACATTTTCAGACTTCTTTGTGATTAAAAATTCCATAGTATTACACTGTCAAGTCAAATACAAAATACACTGAAATGTGTCTTTACTGCATTATTTGGATCACACCCAATAACATACACATCACTGGTTTCTACTTGAGATAAACCTGAATGCTCGTATCATTGTATTTCCTAAACTTCTTTAATAAACATCTCAGCCTTAACTGCCAAGTAACCAATTTTCCAAAATCTCTTAATGTTTCTATGTTCGCTTCCATTCGGCTTTACCCAAAGAAAGGGACACCACCTACCTTTAGGAAAATGGGCTATTTCTCCTTTTCCTTCATAAAGTAAATATGTGAGGGAGAATGGGAAAGGAAGTAGTTCATCTAGATGAATTATTATTGGACAGCAGGAGAGACATTGAACCCAATGGGGTGATAGCCTTCCAAGAAGATCTAGGAAAATTATACACATATTCAAAAGGTGTGCACCTATTCTTTCAATAAAAGGGAGAGAATCATAATTTATCTATTAAAAGCTTTCTCTTCTTTCTTCTGTTTCATCTTACAATTTTCTGATAATTCCCTATAGTAGATATCTTTTGGATCTTGCCCATTGATGAGATGGTAGGTCTCCCATTTTGCAAAAGCAAGCATCTGCAAGAAATATTAGCCTAGTGAAACCTTTTCACATAGGCAGCACAATAAAACTTCTCTCACAAAGAGAATAATTAAATCAGAATACTGGGCATTCTCTATTATTGAGGCATGTTGAGTTTCTTTGTTATCATTTTAATTAGAAAATATTAATGTAATCTGCAAATACAAGGGGAAAAAATTAAAGTTACTACATCTAAGGAGTACTTCATGACCTAAGCTAAATTGAGACAAATGTCTTTCTAATCAATACTGGCCACCAACTTTCAGGATATTCATTTCCATTTACTGTTAGAACTTCCAAGCGTGTTATCAAATTTAAGAACGAATTAAGGCTCCCGCAAGCTACATCTAACCTCTGATGAAGGCAATAAATAGAAATGGATTAGCAGGCTCCTCTCCTCTCCAGTTACCAGTTAAGTTGATAGAGATCAAGTGACCATGGCAGCAGTGCCTCATTCCAGCTCCCTGCCTAGCACGGTGGCAATCGCAAAACCCAGGGACATGCAGAGCAAACTGCCCTTCCACTTGCAGTGGGTTCCTGGCCCTTTCATATCGAACATGAAGAATCTTTAACCCCTGGCTTCCCATCTTGACTCGGCTTGCTTTTCTAGTACTTGTCTTTTATTCGCTCTGTAGATAAAGTACTCTGCTCCCAAAACCAACATTTTCTTTTCTCATTCTCATATTTATTTTTAAAACCCTAATACACAGTAAGTTTTTCAATAAATTCGCAGGGCTGGCTACCATGAAGTAGTAAAATACTTTCACTGGCTATAGAAGTTTTATTAGAATGCATTCCATATATGAATATAATCATTGTAATTTTATAAAGAAAAATAATACTAATACATGAAACTTAGTATTTCTCATGACATAGTGTTATAACTAATCGGTAACAATTTTTAAAAAGAGGGTTTTTTTTGATGTTTGCAAATATATTTTCTGAGGTTGCAATGGTGTTCAGCAGCAAACACAAAGGGAGGGTAGATGGCAGGAAGGGAATCAACATCACCACTAAAACCCAGCAAGGTCATTAGATACTCCTCCTGCTAACATGATTTAAATTAGGAATTCCTGTAAAATGCTTTTTTCCAAACTCAAAGCAAGTATTTTGCAAGGTGTCTATAGGCCAAAGCACTTCAGAATACACACTGGATACACACCTGGCTTTCCTTTAATTAACAAGTATTAATGCAATAATTTTACAAAAATCCAATAAATCCTTAGCTCTGTACCTTCTCTACATACATTCAAGTTCTTTTTCTTTTTCATAAGTTTTCTTTTCTACTGTATATACCTAGAAATCCTGATAAACTAGCTTTTACATAAGTATCCTAGGCAAAACTAAAAACTTTTAGGACTTCTAACAGGAATACACACAAGAAAATTTCCTCTTGAATTTGAGAGATGTCAGGCCTGAAATTAAATTGAAAAATTCTATTGCTTGCATAAACATTAATCAGCACTGTAACCAAGCATTATTTTAAGGTAAGCCCACTGTTCTATCTTCTGCAGACATTGCAGAAATTAAAAGTATTCAGTAGTCATTTAGATGGTGACATATTTTAAAAGAAATATTACTTGCTTAGGTTTTCCACTCCACATTTACTTGTAATTAGAGAGAGAAAGGTAGGTCTGCAGGTCCTTTCTAGCACACTGTTGTGATACAAGGTCTTACCTCTTGTGTTTTCACATTTATATATCCATAGTGAGTTCTCACAGGCCGCCTTTGGCCGTTAGAAAATGGTATCCACTTGACACTGGTTTGTCCAAAGCAGTTTAGGATGAGAGGAAAGCTAACTTCATTTGTGAGACGAATGATGATCAGACAGAGGAAGGCTGCAAGGAAACCCACAGCAACAACGGACTTTCTCTATAATGAAAAGAGGAAAGCAAGTGAAAAAGAAAAATTAAGAATTGTTTTTAATAAGAAAAACAGATAACTTTTATTGTAGAATGAGGGGAAAGCATTAGAAAGCTTCACTAGTAATTATTTCATATGTTAGTGATCCTATTGCTTCTTCATTTCTGAGATTTCACGATTTTTTTTCTAGACCTAGTTAGTAATGAATCAGTTCTGTGTAAACAAAAATCATAATTTCTTTTACTAAGTTTAAAAGAAATCTACCAATTTAAAATTTTATTTCAATTTGCAATGAAAAATGAAATATGCAAATAGCATTACATCAAACCCTCCATGAAAACTCATCAGTGCTTGGGATATATGAAAAAGAAAATACAAATGACCAGTACATCTACACCAAGTTTATTGTGAAAAGAAAGATACATACAAATATTATTTATTTTATGCTAACCTTAAAACATTCCCATGCAAAAGAAGATAAGACTCTAACTTCAAATATTTGAAAACAAATGTCTGGCAAACTCAACGCGCTCCTGTGCCTTTTTCCAGCTTCATGGGTTTACAAAGTAAGGCATTATTATCTTGAACACACCCACCTCTGTAGTTAATAATGTAACGGGCCTTAAGTTTGTATGTAATTAACCTTTGTTTTCCCCTCTAACCTATCCAGCTGGTTGGATTGGTTAATGCAATCATGAACACAAATCATCTTTTTCTCTGTGTATCTCCTTAGTCTACAGGAGAACAACTTGCAAGAAAATACATTTTTCCCCTCATTTTTAGCAGCTTCTGAAACACTGCATTCAATTACTTCTAGACAAATTGCTTGGGGACAAAGCATGCCATGCTAGATGGCATATATAAAGATTCTAGATGAAATACTCTCTTTCAAAGGTCATTTTTTACCATTTTCCTGAGGGAATGGGCCAATGATTACTTACAGGTGTTTTTAATAGTACTTTAATTACACTCTAACTTTATCTAATTTGCCACAGCTTAATCACCCCACTGAACATAATTCTATCACTCTAAACAGTAATATAAATAGAAAATAAGTACATAGCAACTCTGAAAGCTGAATGTGATCCCTGCAGTTCCTATCTACAGACCCCAGCAGCTCACAGCAACCCACACACTCACAGGTGTGAGGTGCCTTTTGTACCCAAAAGCAATTAGATCACAAGTGCTGCAAAAGTGATGGAGGGATGAAAGGAGAGCTCTGATTGCAACCACATGAGAAGACAAATATTTTCTTTGTCTGGAGGTTCATTTGACAGTCTGAAGAAACTAAAATGCTAAGTGGAAGAAACAATGCTATTTACACAGCAAATGTATCACAAAAGATGGAGACCAAGTTTTACTGATCGCAAACCACACCAGCAGCCTAGGTACAGGCTACTCCTGCACTTGCATTCTGCAGATTTCTGAACACAGAAAAACAGAGAGCATCGCAGCAAACATGCAGGAAATCTGGTGGGATATTACTGCATTTCTCTACAAAGAGTTGCCAGTATTCTGCACTATGTATTATGGTGGGTCAATCACATAGTTCTACCTGTTTTGATGTGTAAAAGGCTGCAGGTTTATAAGGAGAAAAAAAAAAAAAGATTAGATTGCAAAACTTGTGTGAACAAGATCACTAGAAGGAGAAGGGGAACACGGAGACCAAAAACAGCAGTATTCTGGCAATATGATTCAGTCAGGAAAAATCTCAGTTAATTAATGGCAATGTAATGTAAAATTAAAATCAGCAAAGCTTCAGAGGGCAGCATAATAGCCTTCAGGATTCATGGTAGCCCCTGCACTTTGCATCAATTGCATTATAACAGATTTACATTATATTGCAATAAACTGGCTAGGGAGCACTTCTGTGTCACTTCTCTTTGTACCAGATGGAGTCAGAAATGTTTAGCTATATATCAAAGCCTAGTAAGTGTTAAGAGCAGCCAAGATGTGCAGCACAAGTGATAATTGCACAGCAATAAGGAGAATGAATGAGTCACATTACTTATTGTAAATCAGAATAAAAATATTGCAAACATTCAAAGAGAAAACTAGTCCTGCTTCTCTGAATGTGTGCACTTCAGTTAAAATGTCCGCAGTTGGATCCAGCACGTGCTGCACTGTACAACACTGCTATCAGATTCCCACACATTTTGCCTTCCTGGCTTGCTGAATATCCTTGATTAATTTTGTGCAGATTTGTTCTGAACTTGAAAATGTTGCAGTCATCTCTGCACTCTTCTCCTAGGCAGCTGCTTAGGACTCCTGCCCGCCCCTCAAAGAATCCAGATTGCATAGCTAGAACTCTTGGCCTCCATAAGATGCCAGCTGCCTTTCATATTCCTTCCCTTTAAATACAAAGGAAAAGTCTGTTTGTGGCCTTTTGTTTTGTTATGTAACAAAACACTGTTTCAAAAACAAAATGACAGATTTCACACACGCGTGTTGTTTTGCCATCAAGAACCTGCACTGGCCAAAGAACAGTTCAAAGAGAGAAAGGAGTTTTTCCAGCTGCAAGGAACGAAGGCATCAATTCAATCATTTGGAAGAAAAACAAGAGAGTCATATGCAAACCCAACGTCTGCTTAACTTGTACAAAGGAAATTTGTGCTAATGGTTCAGTTCTACTGCAGATTAATATATTAAAGTCATGAAATTCAATGTGTGTTCTCAGAGGGAAGACTACTACACATTAGAGTTTCACTAGCTCCACAAGTTTCAGTATAAAAATAATAATAATAGTAAAACCACTCAATGCACCTGCCTATTATAATACTAGCCTTTTAAGGATCAGGTAAAGCAGGCTGCTGTATGACTGACTGCATTCTAAAGGGCACCTTCAAAAGAATTTGCTGTCCTTAAAGTTCTTTCCTGTTTCACCTGCTCAAGAAAATATTTGTCCATAAGCACTCTTATAAAATCTCTCTATAGAGAAATAGAGAAAATTGTTATATTTCCCCTGATAAAACTTAAATTTAGCATTAGATATTTCAAGAATTGTAGATCATATCAATACATGACAAAAAGACAAAAATGGAACTATGCTGGAGATGTGCACCAGGCTCTAGCTTCCCTCAAACCTTGTCTGTATCATCATTTTTAAACACTTAGAAAGCATACTATATGTGTGAGAGAAGACAGTATTCATTAGCAACTTAGCACTTAATTCCAGTTTCATTTTGCATGGATGTGAAGAAATTTTTCTCTAACATTTTCACTCTCATATATAGATCTTAATCTATACATGTTTCCAGCAAACATAATATGTATGTTTTGACACACCTAACATTTTAATTAAAATATATGTTCAGTTACAAACTTTTCTGACACATATTCAGTGAGGAGCAGACAGTTTTAAACAGATTCATAGCTGGAAGATTTACAAGCTATATTAGCTTTCATGAGATTTTATTCCATTTATTTCAATACTAGACTAATCAAGCTGACAGGAGGAAAATTACCAAACTTATAAAAACAAGGTCCTATACTACAGGACCTTTTTTTATTATTATTTGTTAATGACATTAAACCAATGTAGATAGTAATTCAAGGTAAAAATCAGATAAATTTACACATTTTAAATTAGAATATGCCTGTGACACTGTTGGACAGAAAACATACACTAGCATGAAACAATTTATTCTCAAATCCTTTCATTCAATCTCCACAATAATATAATTCCAATTTCAGTTTTGATTATTTCTCAGACATCAGGTTAACTGCCTAACATGCATTTCAAAATCAATAAGCAACAGATAGGATCCACACCTTTAAGGCTTGAATTTTATATTTACATTGTTGAAATAATAAATGAAATAAAAACAGGACTGTCATTATACTATTGCTATTTAGGATTTCATGGAAAATTTGGTGGAAATATATCATCAACAATAATACTTTAATGGATGTATATGTATCTTGATTTGGCAGCATGCTTCCTAATACAATTTATAATCCCTTTTTGGCTAATTATCAGTTGCCAGGATGACTCATTTGCCTTAGTTTGGCAAGAATGCAACTGTCGCAGTGTGTTTAGGTAATTTTTCTTTCAAAACATGTTAAGAAGCATGGAGAAGACATGACCATTTTTAAAAGTTTAATAATGCCTGATGGAACAGAGAGACACAAGTCTTTGTTTCATGTACTCTTGCCTTGTGGGAAGGAAAAAAAAAAAAGGAAATATTTTCAGCATAAGAAGAAAATTTCACAAGTTGTAAATTTTACTGAGGTATATAGTAAGCATCTTTATTATGCTTTCCAGCCCAATAGCAATTCTATGCCATTTTTAATATATAATATGGCAGAGACTGTCAAAACACTTTACAAGCAGTGATAAATCCTCATCCTAGCAATATTAACAGTAAAAACCCATTTTACAGACACATAAACTGAGGCCAAAAGCAACTTCCTTCAGATAATGAAGGAAATCGATGAAATCCAGTCCAAAACTTTTACTCTAGAACGAAGTTGCTTCTCAGGATTATCTCTGCTATTATTTCTGCCTGAACCCATACATATTAAGTGCCAAAAGTGAATATGATGTGATGGAAGATAATCTCTTGGACTCCTTGGAAACTGTAAAGTTCCATGCCTCAAGCAGTAATTAAAAATAAGCATTCTTTTTCAGAAACTGATTTTTAGGACACTAACTGTTTTTGTTATTTACACAGATGCATGATACCACTGTGCTTGGAAGGACAAGTGAAAGGTAAAGAGCAATATGAGGATTCTGAGTCTCTTAGATGACAGGATATGCTGTGATATTCTATTACTTTCTCAGTAGCTACCTTTATGAGTATGCTGAAGAACTCAATTATATTTTTAATAACTCTGCATATTATACTACATCTATTACATGTACTAATGCAGGTTTTCAGGCTTTTTATTCACCTACAATACCAATTGAAATCCATAATGGTTACACTTACTGCATTTGTTTCATTTTTGTAGACCACTATATGTAAAAAACAGTTTAATTTTGTCTTTTATGGTCTGGAGTTTCATCT